CACCTAGTGGATATAATAATGTGGGTCTGAATGAGGTTATCAGCAAGACACTGAAAATTAGATTGAATTTCTCATCTCCATCTGTTTTCTTAAAATCAGCAATCTAACACTTGATTGGACTGCAATATGACATCAGAGTTGACTTTTTCTTGAGATCTATGCGCTCAAAGCCTACAAATTAAGCACAGCATTGTAGTTCGTCTACACCTCAAACATTTCACTTGAACTGATGTTTAATTTGCAAATGGTATATAAAGTTAAATTCATACTTATCATCCAGGTAATTTAACATTTTAAGATAGTAGTGAACACTTTGAGGGAGATCCCTATAATCCCCAAATCCCCACCTACAAATGGTTGTCAATGAAAAATCAATACATGCCCAAGCAAGAATTAAGCTGTATAGAAGAAAAGGACATCATCTTATAATCCTTTATTATCCTTTAAGATTTTCATCATATCAAACCAATTTTTTTATACTATTTATGGCTGGTATTTATTCTGCTATATCCATTACATGCATTCACACAATAGCTTCCTCTCTATATAGTAGTTTACATTGTCATTGGCGGAGTCTGCCACTCCTGCACTGGATTCAAATTGTATGCAAATGTGCAAGACATTCACAGGGAAAAATGCATTCATGTAGACATACTGGACAATGATCAGTGCATGGAAAACATTGCATGTAATTTGTGCATATTTTACATAATCACATAACTTGGAAGAGTACAAATACAAGTGCTGCAACACACAAGTTGTGTGAGATGCTCATCTTCTTCTGTTGTATTGCTGAGAGAATAGCTGTTTAAAGAATGTTTCCTTAGGTCACACAAACGCACAAACCACAGGTGTGCCAAATCAATAACAACTGATATCTAAGGATTAGAACTTTAAGTGCTCCACTAGAACCTGACCTATTGGGGGCATTTATGACTCAGCACCAAGTGTTTATAAAGCTTTATATTTACCTTGTATATACCAGATATCAATCCATCTCCTATTGGCATTGTGAGAATTAATTATATTATTTTTCATGAAAAAGTCAGTGGCACAAATAACAAACTCTGGCTAGTCCTTGATTCTGCCGTGGAAGAAAGGCTTGTTTGGACAGTAAGTCTCAGCAAGCTTAGTCAAGCACAAAATCAGTGCCCTGGTGCCAGGGTGAGCTGTCTAAACAGACAGACAGAAAAAGTGACAAACCAATATACTTCAGACCAAGCCTCAGATTTATCATTGACAACAGGAATAAGAATCAGGAAGAAACTTACAATTGATAGAAACAAGCAGCACCATACTGAGTCAAACAGAAAAGCAGTTGTTTTTTTTAATATGGTTTTAAGGCAGGATAAAACGCTGGTGAGTACTACAATCTCCAAAAACATGATTGTCTGCAGGATACCTCATCGGTTTTTAACTCTTCCTTGATGGGCTGTGGAATAGCTCTGGCCGGCAGCTGATACAAAGGGCTTCATTCACTTTCACATAGATTTAATAAAAAAGGCCTTAATTGAGCAAACACAGATGAAAGGGAATCATTATCTGGGCTTGCATAGGGAAGAGTGGTCCCCTTTTGCCAGTGCTCTTTGTTTGCTTTAGCTCATGTATCACGGAACCTTTTAAATAATTTCAATACTACTCACATTTTAGGGTCATGAATGGTAAAAAATCAAAATATTACCTGTAGTCCTACACTGATTAGAATGCAATCAAAAGAAGACAAGAAGAGGACAGAAAATAGACTTGTGTGAACTCGCTGTTCATATTGCTGTCAAATAGTCTTCTATTTGTCCAAGGAGAGTTGTCTGTCCTTCACACACATGCACAAAAATACACACACACACACACACACACACACACAAAACGGGCACACACATGCACACAATACTAATCAGTGAGATCTAAATCCTCTGGGTATAGGCTCTATTAGACCATGTGCTTATGAGAAGATAATCATTTGGCGATATGAAGACACAGCACCGGGCGGTGGGTGGCAACAGTAATGCTGCTGCATGAAAATGCTCTGCTGCAAAGTGTGTGCCAAAGCCTTAACTTTTAATATAAGTTGTAGCCTAAAGGCAGACATTAATGAGTCCTTTTTGTCAAGGTGAAGGAACAGAGATAGCAGACAATGTGCTTAACTTTAAAGGATGCAATCACAGCTTTGAATATGAGAGTATGGGTTATAAAATGACACTGCAGTCTTCTGGGCAAACAAGTTAAGCTTTGGCCTTGAATATACAGATGGATGAGATAATGTTAATGTCAGTATCATGCAAAAAGGGCAGATATCTGTTCTTGACATTTAGTTGAATAATACAGGGTATCATACGGTATACATAACAATTCACCACCTTACAACTTAGCTGACCAGTTTGTTGAGTATTTGAAATAAACCCCTGAACACACACACAAAAGTAAAAATACTTGGGAGTTAATTAGAAAAGGGAAAAAGTTGTTCACAATTGCCAAAATGACATTTTGTACACAAACACTAGATGGTGCTGTTTAGTTTTGACTGCTTGCTACATGACAGCAGCCATGGCTTTATAGTGTCACATGTGGGAATATTGTGACCTCAGTTTTCAACATCTATGATGAAACATTTATGTTTTTAAGTCTATCTTGATTTATAGTTCCCTTTATGTACATTTAGTGCTTCTCATGCATGTTTTGGCAATTTCAAAGTTTTCTGTCTTGCATTTGCTGCGGTGTAGTTCATAAACAACAAAATGACAAACTGTCCACATAGATGGCTAGTAAGCACATGTAGTTTATAGTCTAAGCGATTTTCGTTGTGCAATCCACATTGAAATGCACCACTAGGGTCATGGCAGCTCAAGCAGCTATTTATGTCTGATTTGCCGAGCTCTGTAAACAAGCCTAAGTACAAGAAAAACATGTCACATCTCTATCTGTAACGACTGGAAATGCGTCCTAGTTTTGTTGTTTGAATACACCCACATTTATGAAACAACACTGCAAGCTGAACATTTTTTTATTCTTCTCTAGCTTTAAGGAACAAGCAAACCGTCATATTGCCACCTTGTGGGATGCACTCTGTGAAAGCTGGTACCATAGTGAATAAGCTTTATCTGTTTCAGGGAGCATAAAACAAATGAGATGGAAATGAGCTTAACAAATACAAAGCTAGGAAACGCAAGCATCTGTTGTTGATGTACAGTTAAATTAGGATGTTTCTTTATGCTTAAAGGATGAATACAGTCTGTTAAAATGAAGCCAAAAATATTTAGCAGTGCATCACAAGGCCAGAGTAAAGTTGAACTTTTTATAATGCCAGTGGTCATAGCCAGTATGTTTTAACATGCGGTTGCTCATTTTTCTCATATGCAGACTTCATTATATCTCAGTGTGCTTCTACAGTAACCTAATCCTGTTTTTGTATCTCTGTGTTTTCAGCCAGCCAGCCGTTGGATTGAGCAGCCAACAAAATGAGTGTTATCAAGTATCAGTGCTGTTTTTACTGCTACAATCATGTGCCAGACAGAGAGGATGGAGTGAATAGGAAAACAAGCTACAGAAAAGAAAGAAGAGATCAGACCAGAGAGAGGCACTGAAGTCAGTATATGATATTTGAGAAAGAGGGAAAGAACAAGAGAAATAGGAGGAAAGAAAGATTAAGTGAAGGAGCCAGTCATACACATGTCACATGTGAGTCTACAGCGGTGTTGCCAAAGAGAGGCTCTATTTTTAGGGGAGGAATGTACACAGAGGCCTCGTGGAAAGAGACCATAACAACAAACAGTACGCAATGCGCTCCTACAAAGAGACAGCCCCCTTTGGAACATACAGTCACACAGCATCAACACGAGAGAAAAGAGGATAAGAGTACAGGAAAATGTCGAGACATCAGATTTTCTGCTGAGATCTTGCTTTGAATACAGAGTGGGACCCCCAGAAGACACAAACAGAAAGAAGAGGAACAGGTAAGAGTTGTATTCCAGTAAAGCTCCATAAGCTGCCAGGAGCATTGGACTTGTTTTGTGCAGTATATGATGTTGGCATGGCTTTGAATAAATTTGATGTAAATAAAATCACACATAAGCTTGTTTTGTATTTCTCTTACATGGTGATTTCAAACTTGACATTGCAGACTAATATAATATTTGTATTATTTTGGAATCATATCTAATGCATGCAATGGAGGGGAAAAAGTGCAGTCACAATCGTCCAGTTTAGAAAGCCAAAATTTCCACATAAAACACCATCACATAACAGAAGGACCACTTGTTCCATGGCAATGAGTGACAATCCCACAGCAGAAATAGTTGTGCAGGTGTTTCTACTCAGACAACTAGTCTCCAAAATAATTAGGCAGGCATACTATAGGCCCTAAAATGTCTGAGTGCAGCAGTGCGATTTTGGGCCCATGTGCCAAAAGGCAATAATCTAAAGCCATATAACAAAGTTAGTGTTGTAGTTATGAGTCGAACAGGTTTTAAATGACTTGTACACCTATAAACTAGACATTTAGGCTGTGATTTGGGGGAAAACTTACCAAGAATACTTGCCATCTAAATATTGAATGCATGACATAGCACTGGATTGAATCTAACTCTACTAGCCTGGCTGTATGGTAGTATGTTTGAATGGTTGTTTGTTTCACTATGATCCTTTCATTTCTGGGTATTCTGGGTATTAAAATCAGTATGGATAATAATCAATTCTTAGATGTCTTATGAAGGAGAGCTGTAGCCTTGTGTAGAAAACAGAATCCCCTTTCTCTTCTTTTATTGCTGAAAAAAAATCTAAACTAAACCTAAAATCTTCCCGTATTAAAGTAAAGCCACTATTAACTCAATTGTTGCTCATCTTTATTTTATTTATTACAGCAAGCTCTCAAATAGCTATTAAGCAGCAACCACATAGCTAAAATGTTTGAAGTAGACATCATGTTAGGGTATGTGACTGCTTCCCAAATTAAAACAAGCCTTAAGATCAATGGATTCAACAATAACAACATGGTCTCTCTCCTCAGAATGGACCGACCAGCAGTCAAGGTCTTCCACTACAAAGACAAGGAGCAGTCCTCCAACTTGCTCCTGCAGCTCAACCGACTGAGGCAGGAGAACGTCCTGACTGATGTGTCACTGTGTTCTGATAACAACGAGATTCCATGCCATCGTAATGTTCTGGTGTCTAGCAGCCCCTACTTCAGGGCCATGTTCTGCAACAACTTCTTGGAGAAGCAGCAAGCCAAGATTAACTTAAAGGGCATCACATCAGCCATTTTAAGCAGTATCATTGACTATGTTTACACAGGACTCATTAGTATCAGTGTGGATATTGTGCTGCCCCTGATGCAGGCCGCATCCATGTTGCAATATAGCCACATTTTCGAGGCCTGCTCAAACTTCCTTCAGGAACAACTGAGCCCTGACAACTGTTTGAGCATGATAAGACTCTCTGAAATCATGAATTGTAACAGTTTAAGAGACAAAGCAAAGGAGATGGCTATGAATAGCTTCTCTGATGTGTCAGCATCTGAGGATCTGTGTGAACTCTCTTTACGAGAGCTCATGGGATACCTGGAGGATGATAGTCTTTGTGCGGAGGAGGAGCAAGTCTTTGAGACACTTGTTGCTTGGATCCACCATGATCCTTTATCCAGACGTGGTGCCATTAGTGACCTCTTCAAGAAAGTTCGCCTTCGCCACATCCATCCTACCTACCTCTTCCAATTCATAGCCAATGACCCTCTGATCCAGTCCTCCACCCTCTGCACTGAGCTCATAGAATCTGTGAGACGCCTGATGTTTTCTGTCAACACGAAATGCATTGACACAGCAGTTGACTTCAAACCTCTCTGGGTGGCACCAAGGCGCTACTCCTACCATGACATGTTGGTGGTGGTAGGAGGGAGGAAGAACAACGAGCAGACCTCGAGGGAGGCTCTCGTCTTTGATGAGAAGAGTGAGAAGTGGCAGTTGCTCGCCAAGCTGCCCATTCGTCTGTATAAAGCCTCCTATGTCGCCCTTCACAGTGTCTTGTATGTTATCGGAGGCCTAACCACAAACACAAAGTACAGCAGCCAGGTCAGTACGACCGTCTACACCCTCTCCCTAAAGACCAACCAGTGGCGGACAGCAGAGCCAATGCTGGAGCCACGCTTTGCCCACCAGAGTGTTTCCTACCTCCACTTCATCTTTGTCCTTGGTGGCCTTGGGCCCAACAAACGACTGACAGACAGTGTGGAGAGGTGAGGTGGACCATAATTATCTACACACACAGCATAAAATACACAAATGTAGCAAATAATAACACATCTGTCAATAATTTGTTTAGGTACAACAGTATGTTCAATCAATGGGAGTCTATGGCCCCCATGCCTGTAGCTGTGTTGTACCCTGCAGTGGCTGCTACTAACCAGAGGATCTATGTGTTTGGAGGAGAGGATGCCATGCAGAACCCAGTCAGAATAATACAGGTAAGAGACAATGTTCTTAAATCACTAAGTCACTGTTTTTATTTATCTATCCATTCTCATTCAGTCATTCAATAAATCTATTTCCCTTTACCGCTGCTCCTCCCCTCCCCTTCTGTAGGTGTATCACATTGCCAGGAACATGTGGTCCAAGATGGAGAACAGAACAGTGAAGAATGTGTCTGCTCCTGCTGCTATTATGGATGACAAAATCTACATAATTGGAGGTAGATAGTAGCAGTGATAAAGACACTGAGAAAGGAATTTAGTAAAAGAGCACCCTATTCATTTTGCTATAATTCATTAGTACTGATTTATTTCCTGATGAATTAGATTGTAGAGTTACATCACTGCGCTTCGCTTAAGCCACTGGTGCCGCCCCTCTCAAATTAATGCTTCCCCTGTCACAGGATACACCAGGAGAGTGATCGCATACGACACCAAGGCCAACCGGTTCATCAAGTGTGCCAACCTGAAGGAGAGGAGGATGCACCACTCCGCCACTGTTCTCAATAACAAACTCTATGTGACTGGTGGACGCTACGTCAACGGCCATGACGTCATCGAGGACTCGGACAATTTTGAGTACTACGACCCAAAGACAGACACTTGGACATCCAAAGGGACTCTGCCGTATAAACTGTTTGATCACGGCTCTCTGACTCTGACGCATGTCTCACAGACATGGGCAAAATCCTAGCTGAGGTCTGATTCTTATTTGAATGCTATTAATTTGAAACCAGTTTATTTAAAACTGAATGACTGTCAATCAAAAAATATTCTTTCAGAGAAAATGACTATTTGTTTTATATATCTATATCTATTTTATAGCAGATTTCCACTATTCACGCTTTCATGAGATGTATTTAAAAATCCCAGAAACACAGAATCATGCATACTTCAAATTTCCATGTATATATGACTTTTGATACCTGAAAATGATTGTTTAAATAATCTGTGTCTTTTCTATGTTTTTATTTAACAACCAAATCAATGAAAAGAAACTACCCTGCTGCACAGCCCCTTCTTAACCTGTCTAACTTCACAAAAGGGTGAAAGTGCTATTTTCGGCTCACTCTAAATCATGAGATTTCACTTGTCATGTTTAAATCCTGGGGCTGTGTACTGTTTGGTGCAAGTCAAAGCTATGCTCAGCTGTTAGGTCTGAACCTGCTGCTGCATCTGGTGAACCTTTGTATCACAGTCTGTTGCCTGAAAATATATGATGAAATGATTGTGATAACATTGTTATCAAATAAAATCAAAACAAAAGCCCAGGAATTTGTTAAAAACTTAACTCAAGATGGTATTTAAATAGAACCATTGGTAAGATTTCTGTAGCTCTTTCACTTCTTTCTTCCTGATTAAACTGGTATGATATAATGCATAACATAGTATCTGTATCTGTATGCTGAATTAATACCTGACTTTACTATATAAGCATGTGCCTACAAGAATACCCTCAAATTCTGTCAAAACTAAGACTCAATTGTAACTTTTTCAAATAGTTTTCTAACATTTTTGTACTGTTTTTCTGGTTTTAACTCTTAATGTGTTACAATAAAAAGTCAATCCATACATGTATCCTCTCTACATCTCTCGAAATATCGGTACCATATAACTTACCAGTGCTTAGCCAGTTGACAGCGAATGCAATCTGAGCAGCACATGTATGTTTCATCATGTGTCTGTTTGACCCCGCTCACAGTCCTGTCCACATGGGACCAGACAGGTTCCTGCTATCCACACACACAGGGGGACACAGAACATAATATAGAAAATGCATCCTTTTACAAAGGACAGACTTTAATATCATCCAGTTGGAAAACATGTTGAAATGGCTTTTCTCCACCTGTTGCAGGTAAAATTAAAGCCAGGGGTGCCCCAAGAAGTGCCCGCTGGCTAAAATTAATTTTTATGTTGCTGCTCATACAGAAAGCACATAGAGATGGACAGGAAAATGGGAAACAGGCCCAGTAAGGACACGAAAGGCAGATTTAGTTGCCTGTTTAGGCAGACTTACAGAATATTACTAGTGATTCAGTTAGGTGTTCCTGGGACCACAATACAGAGGGCTGGGATTTTTTCAAAAATGACTTTTAATGTTAATATTAAGATATGCAGGTAATTTAGATCTGTGTAAATAACTGCACAATCTCCTTTAAAACGATTCCTTAAAGTAAGGATCAGCAACAGCAACAGTGATTACACAATTTCATGCATCAATGACTTTCAGAGAGCAGTGTCAGCCATTTTATGTGGAGTAAACATAACATGATCAGGAGGTTTTACACAGGAGTCTATGTACATTTCTTTGAAACTAGAAGTCACTGGGTCAAATGTTTCAGTCGCCCACTGCCAGCGAATAGAGTCCAGGGGACAGTGGGTGGAGTGTGTGAGAGAAAGGTGGGGGGACTGGAAAAACTATAGGTGATCTGATGTTATTTAGAGAAACAAACAAGAGGGTGAATGTTACACCACGTGAGGCATGTGGTCCTGTTGGTTGCCACGCAAGCTGGCAGATGTGAGAGACGACTAGGAGGGAGCAAGAAACTGATGAGCAGGGTTTCACAACTGAAAATCTGAGCGAGTGATGAAACTCGACCGGGAGGAGCAGCAACAGGTGTGTGAGAGTGTGTGTGTTTGTGATTAAAGTTTTTTGGGGGGGTCGAGCAGGACTGACCAGCTGTCCTGTCTGGTCACAACAAAAACAGGGATGATGGACAGAGGGGAGGGAGGAAGAGAGATGATTCACTAATAACCTTTATAAATTGCTCTAATTTGATGCCTCATGTATCCATGTGCCTAAAAATACTGCTATAAACATGGCCTCACCTTGAAACGATAAGAGTCTACTGCCAAGTTAGCTGGTGCTTTGAGCTAAATGCTAATGTCAGCTTGCTAACATTAACACAATGACAATGCTAACACGCTAATGTTTAGCAGGAACAATGTTTACCACGTTCACCGTCTTGGTTTAACATGTCAGCATGCTAAGGTTTGCTACTTATATCTAAACCCAAAGTAGGCCTACAGCTGAGGCTGATGGGAATTTAGGGGATTTTTTAGGGGAGTTATTGTGATTTATTGTCCTGGGAATATGAATATCTGCAAAAAAACCATCCAAAAAATATATAAGAGATATTTCAGTCTGGACCAAAGTGGTGGACCAGAACCACATGAAAGCTATGACTTTTTTTTTGTACCTTTTCTTGTAAGCATAGGAGCTGTGTAAACCACTTTATTTTCCTACCAGTTGGACTAACACTTAACAGAGCACATCTCTGATTAATCATTGTTTGTGATTCACTAAATTAAATAAACTGATACTAGGCCTTAGGTCATAGCTTCCTTCTTAGTCAGTCACCACCTAGCCGAGCACTTGCTGGGACTTTCCATGTCATTCTGTAGTTTGGCCTACTCTGAAAATAGACCTCAGAATGATACTTCAGGGACTCACAACACCATGCACATAACCGTATACCCCTTGTAGCTCACACAATAATACTTTTTTAGTCTTGAAGGTCCTCTTTTTACACACACCACTGCAGCTCTGTATGGTTACCCACATGGGGAACTATTGAACTATGTCAGTGTGAGTTGACTTCTGCTTTTAAGTCATGATCAATACAGCTTCCCAGTCTGCTTTGATATACTTTCACGTGATGTCTTGTTGACAGATTCTAACAAGCAGAGTATACGCAGACCAATCTGACCTTTCACAATATATACGGGTGTTACATTAAAACCTCAGACATGAAGCCACAGATGCGCCTGTTCCAAAAGCTTCAGTAACACGTGATCTGTAATGAACAGTGCATTAATGTGTAAATGTATTCAATGATTTCAATAAAACTGCGACTAAAATGAGCTTTTGATGAATAAACCACTTTCCATACTTGTTCTTTTCTTTTGTGAAGGTCACCAAAAGGCAACTAATTGAACATTAGAAGAGAACGAAAAGAGGAATCAACAGAGCTGTTGCCAAAAATAAGTGAACTTAGAGCACTACAGGGGAGTTAATAACCATCAGTGTTAATTTTGCAGTGCACAAACCACATCAGCCACAGTTGCAAGCCTGGTCATGCACACACAGGATGTGCCTAAACAAATGCGCTGAAACACTGGCCTGCTGGTTCTTGGAAGTGTGGACCATGTGCTGCTGCTGACATGTTTTGAAGATTGTATGGATGCAACTGCTGTGGTATTTTACTGAGTATGAGTACACAAGTGTTTCTCATGCTGCCGATTTTTAGGAAGTGAACTTTAACCCTTTACATCAGCAGTCACATGACATCAATGATCAGACTGGTTTGTGTTTTAGGTGAGACATTAACAGTATTTCCTCCTTGCTGCCTTTGTAATTATTCTTACTGCTGATGACAAATCCAATACTGAACACTTCTTGATCTTCGACTACAACAACAGACATAGCCATAAGCAAACAGATATCAACTTTGAACTTGATTCCCAAAAGCCTCACAGATGAGTGTGTAAATATGCCTTGTGTTTAATTAAGCTGATAAGAGTTGACCCAGTGGCATGGACAGACTCAGTTACACGTTATCTTTAATGGCATGGTCCAAAATAAACAAAATATCCTCCATCCAGTCTTGATAGATCAGTAAGGGCTGTTTTGGGAAAATTTAAATACAGTGGTAATGCAGACACACACATTTCCTGCAACCCAAGTTCTCTGGAGGACTCAAAGGACAACCTGATCTATTTATAATACTGTGAGTGACTCAGGGGGATTCACAGCGACGTTACTGTGAGGATGAAATGTTTTTTCTCTTTAAATTTACAGTCACATTACTGCCAGTACTGATAAGGTTGACCAAAACACTTCCTGAACAATTACTTTGATCAACACCAATGCATTCGCCATTAAAAAACTGTAGTGAGAAACAGTATTGTTACACTGACTACATATTATTCTAGAGCTTTTCAAATTGTGAGGTCCTGAATGAGATCTGTAGCAATGTCAGGCTGCACTTTGATTTCGATATTTGAGTAAATGCAGTTGCTTCCACCCCGGTCACAGACAGCAGAGACAGTTACATAATTGTCTCCCAAGCCGTTTATCGTTTACAAAATGCTTTCCTACGGGATTCGCTGTGTTAAAATACAATATAAAAGCAATTTCCCTGGTGCCCTCTGTCTCTACCTTCCCATGATTCGTTAACGCTTTGTTACCTCTGCTCTCCTCTCCAAGAGGTTTTGCAACGCTCAAGTTGATAAACAAAGCCACGTGTTGCAGGGAAGTTTCCAAAGTGGGCGGATCTCGTGTATTTCCGGGTTCTGAGTTGAGGATATAAGAAGAGCTGCGCAATGTCAACAGTAGACCAGAAACAATCGCTTTGAAGAAGGGATACATCTTAGACTACTTCCTTTTATTTGAACAGTTATTTAACTCAGAGTCATCAGACCAGGATGCCTTTCCTCGGACAGGACTGGAGGTCACCGGGTCAGAGTTGGGTTAAAACCGAGGAGGGATGGAAAAAGACAACAGCAGACGACAAAAACAACAATGTCTCCGTGGAGAGGTTGGTGCTGACAGATGTCTCCGTCACGGTTTTGAAATTGCGCAACTTTTAAATGTTTTGTTAAGTTGGAGAAAGACGGAGGAGGGGAAGAGGGGTGGATATTCTGAAGGAAGACCAACACAGCATTATGGACAAAGACAGGGCGACAGGCAGACAGACAGGCAGACAGACAGGCAGACTGTAGGCTTGCACCTTCATGTTGTTTCCATCTCATTAACCTCAGTGTCTTTGTTTTTCCGGGGCCATGTTCCTTCACCAGGCTAATCGCTAAGCTATTAATAACCTCACAACAAGTGAGTGGATTAACTAACGTCTGTTGAGTCTGTCCACTTTCCACAGTGACTGCACTCCTAACACAGAAAGCCTCAAAGAACAGCAGTTAAAGCACATGCATTACAAAGGCTGTTAGAAATATATATATGATACCTTGGTTTTGATGCTGGAGTGTGTTCTCTGTCCAGAATAACTTCATGTCACTGCATATAAAGTCTGTAGTGTGCACTGGGAGGAAGTGGTGAAATGAAGCCTTTAGTGAAATATGGGCCCTTGTGTTTTTCCAGCTTCTGCAAAGCCGAGGAGGAGGAGTGTTTCAACAAGGAGAACCTGCTGCTTGCTCTCAGCTACGACATGTCTGCCAAGAAGAGGAAAAAGGACCTAATGAACAACAACGCCAAGGTCCCCTGTGAGTCACAATGAAAGAGCCACACAGTCTGCTGTATTTGTGTGTGTGTGTATATATATGCAAAGGATAACATTTAGTTATTTTATGTGTGGGGTCATAAATCATGGAATAATATCCCAAAGTTAGGTTCCGGACCAAAACTATTACCCAGAGAGGCTCATGAGGATGTTATGTAACATTCATGAGGGGAACTCTTCGCTAATAATATTGTTTATGATTAATTTTCCATCATTTCATAAACTCTATTTCAATAACTATGCCGACTGTGAAATTGTGTCATATTTGTGATGTGTGCATTTGTCACAGTGCTTATAAGCTGCTTAATGAGGGCAGGCCACTAACATAAACATTCTGCTTCCTCACAGATTTCCACAGGGAAAAGTGGATTTATGTTCATAAAGGAAGCACCAAGGAGGTAACAAACCAACTCATTTACTTTCACATCAACTTTTCATATCATCATTGCTAATGTAAACATGCTGAGAAAACTCTATTCTCCTGCCGAGGATCGCAATCTAATACCCTGATAATTAAATTCTCCTAGCGCCACGGATATTGTACACTGGGAGAGGCCTTCAACCGCTTGGATTTCTGCAGCGCCATCAAGGACACGAGGAGATTTAATTACGTTGTCAGAGTGAGTCCTCATCTCTTTCTTTTCTTCTAGTTTCTCCTATGCCTTTAGTTTCTCTTCCTCTGTAGTTGTTAATAAGCGATGTTTTGTTGGTGTCAGAAAAGGGGTTAAGGTGGAGAGGGTGTGTAGGCTTCTGCCAGGCTCTTATCAATGCTCTGCAGACAAGGGTTCCTCAGTGGTGATGATACCGACCCTGGGAGTGTATGTGTGTGTTTGTGGTAGGATAGGAGTGTGACATAGCACAACATGTTGCTGTAATGTGATTGCTAAAGCCAATTGGCATCCCTAAATTGAGAAAAAACTGTATTTAAAATCCATTCACTCACTTTAAACATTTTATGAGTCTCAATTCGTATTAGTTTAAAAGCTATGCACTATGTTGGACCTTTTTAAAACTTCCCACAATGTCCATAGTATTTACACTCGGGATGCCAAATTGCGTTGTTAAAAACATCCATTAGAAGGGAGATGTGACATTAACAACATTCGTTATATCATTATCGATATTGTAATTGCATTGTAGGATATAAACGGAAAAATCACCCCTCCACATCAAAGTGTCCCTACACGGAACCCAACACCCTGCTCTCCCACATGTGCTCCCATGTGAGCTGAGGGCTGCGTGTGGTCGTGTTCTCCTGTGCTGGTGGGGGGGGAGGGGAGGGGGTGACAGCTGTGCGATGAGGTGTGACCACCCGACAGGGGTTTATGAAACCAGACCCTGGTGGTTGTCAGGTGATACAGACCCCCAAACACACACATGGACACACACACTTGTCTCTGCCAGACTCAGGCCGCCTCCTTTTGTGTTGTCTCCTGCTTTCTTTTCTGGCTCATCCTATGCCACAATTTTCCATTTAACTCTAATGCATGTGATGTGATGAGGAGACAGACCAATATCCCGTTTTGGCAGGACAGTGATCTTGCAGGGGATTGTGTTTTATGGCTTTTTTTGTTGTCTTTATTGTCATTGGTCATAAACACCTTTTATACGGTATCGACATTATAGTATTCCTGAGACCTCAGTAATAAAAGAATATCTGGTATTCCACACATAATCTCAGTTTTTAGTCCCTTTTCATATAACTTTCCACAGATAGTTTGCCATTTGTGTCTGTCTCTGTCTCAGTTTTGGATTGACCTTTTAGTGCAGGGTACAGCTAACAAGTGCAGTGTAGTGTGGTAAGCCCAAAAAACAATATGGCTGTGTAACTTTAGCGTCTAGTCTGGACACGGTGTCCTAGGTCACTGCTCTTCACTGGTTGTGTCTGATGGCATTTGCGGGTTCATTTAACTCCGTCTCAGTTACACAGATCAGGTTCGTCCACAAAGAGACAACAAGTGATCGTCTCTTTTTCAGAGCAGACAAATGGAGGTTACTTCAAGGAGAAAGAAACCCTTAAAATGAACTGATAGTAACTAGAAGATGCAGTGCTTCTAATACTGTTTGTGTGTTTGTGGAAAAGTGTGAGCAGCACGCCAAGCTATGAAGTGCAGTTTAGCGAACAGCGGGGGCTAAAAGTAGATACGGAAACGCACATTGTTCTGCCCGGCTGCTCTACAAAGAGAGGAACACTTGATGAGCTGCTAAAAGAAGAAGGGCATGGGATTATGTTTTAGGAATGGAGCTGGAAAGAATGAAAAAAGCGAGCCAGGAGGGAGCGAAGAAGCTTAAAATTGGTAAAAAATGGGCAGAGAGGTTGAGGTTGTAGGAGAGAAGAAATGTACTTCAAAGTTTGGTATTATTAAGACTTCCAACCTCAACCCTAACTTTTCATTTAGGATTTGCCTGAATTCGTTCTTACATAAGATGAGTTTAGAAATAGGCAATAAAGTTTATGCCTCTCATTACATATCTACTAGCACTGCTAAGTATCCCCTCCAGCTGACCAGAAAGTACCCCACAATATGTTGATGTTGATATGATGACAGAGGTCACGGGCTCGGGGGCAGAATTGAGCAAGGGGGAACTTGAGTTTCTCCATGATGTCACAGCATCTGTTACATGCCAGACATGCCACCCTGGAACCCGCTGTTTGTCTGTAAGCCAACGGCAACAACCTCGCAGACACACACGCATGCAACACACACAAGCATGCACGGGCCCGCAAAGTGTGCACGCTCTCTGTCAAATGATTCAGCTAATTCACATGACAGGAGGATCAGGAGTCAAATGATTAAAAGCTTGTTTGTGGAGGCTGACGCTGTTGGCAGCCTGGGCTGTTGTCCAACACCTTTCCAGTAGCTTCTTCCCCTAAAGAGACCAAGAGCCAAGAATGCTGTTATATGTTAGTCTGATCAAGCTTCACTTGAGAGTAATGACCAGGTGGAACAGCTCCAGATTTTGTTCTAGACAGCATTTATTGTTAGGCGTGCAAGTGCCTTTGTAAGAATGCAGCATAACAAACATTAAGTAATGAGGCAACGGAACACAGAGTCTCAGCAGCTGACGGGATGAAATTTATGTTGTGTTTCTGTGTTTCTGTCTCTTTCTCTGCTCCAGCTCCTGGAGCTTATCGCCAAGTCCCAGCTCCCCTCGCTCAGCGGAGTGGCGCAGAAAAACTACATGAATATTCTGGAGAGAGTGGTACAGAAAGGTGAGCCCCATTGCTCTTTTAAAGTCACTCAACTAGTTTGCCTCTCAGTTTCTCTCCTTTTGTGTCCGATGGTTTCATCTTTCTGCTGTGGTCTAAACACACACACACACACACACACAACACACACACACACACAGACATACACTTCTTAAAATACCAATACCCACAGTTTGCCTGTCAGTCAGTTTACTGTTTCATCAAACATACAGACAAGCAGAATCCTTATCTTTATTAAAGGTGTAAACACATAATTCGAGTAGAGCAAAGATTAAGCCTTCCTGTGCTGTTTGCACCAGTAGGTGAGGAAATGAGCCCTGACCACATCTAAAGAAGGCCAGGGAGTGAATTTAGTGCTTTAATGGCACAGTGAAAAACACTGACAGTCACCAGACTACTCTGCAAGCCACAGTATAAACTAAATGTTCCCTCTGCTAAACAGAGATTCAGGTTGTTTAGGTGGAGTTATGAAACCTGCTGGCCAAATATTATGAGTGTTGCAGGAGGAGAGTACAAATACTCCAAAACATTTGGTTTAATAATGTGCTTTTTGATGATTCACAATAAATATTTCACTGTTTGGCTGTTTGCCTGGTAATCTCTCTGTAACAGCCAGGCTTTAAAATGCGTTTAGGTCAAGATTGGAGCAATAAATTGAGTCCAATTAATAACTGCTGATTTCCTCCACAGTTCTTGATGACCAGCAGAACGTCCGTCCCATCAAGGAGCTGCTGCAGACGCTCTACATCTCGCTGTGTGGTCTTGTTCAGGACATGGGCAAGTCTGTCCTGGTGGGGAACATCAACACCTGGGTGCACCGCATGGAGAACATTATGCAGTGGCAGCAGCAACTGGACAACATCCAGATCAACAGGGTAAGCATCTGGCTAAACTGTGGCATGAAACATTAGGGACATGAATGCAAATGTCCATTCTATTCATGACTTTTTCTGCCTCCTGTCTTTTTTCAGCCCACATCTACAGGCATGACTCTGACTGACCTGCCTGTCAGTCTGCAGCTGAACATCATGCAGCGTCTGTCAGACGGCAGGGACCTGGTCAGCCTGGGCCAGGTGTGCCCCGAGCTGGGCGCTCTCACTGAGGACCGACTGCTGTGGAAGAGACTCTGCCAGTACCACTTCACAGACAGACAGGCATGTAGAAACAAATGGTAGTAATTAGTAAAACCTCCATAGTTTGAGTAGTTACTGAGTAGTGTAGTGTAGTACTGAATTGGTCTGCAAAAGAAATTCTCATGGAAGCTAACATTAAAATAGATATTACACAGATATACGAAGTATTTTTCTCTCTCTGGGTCGTGTCTTTAAAGTCTGTGTTCTTCTTCTCCAGATCCGAAAGCGCCTGATGGTGTCAGATAAAGGTCAACTGGAGTGGAAGAAGATGTACTTTAAGCTGAGCCGCTGCTATCCTCGCAGAGAGCAATACAGTGACACCTTGCACTTCTGCTCACACTGCCACATCCTTTTCTGGAAGGTAGTGTATTTTTCTCTCTTCACTTTGCACTTGATCATAGTGAATATAAAACTAAAATGTGGCTGGTAGTAAAGCTGCAAATAGAATAACAAATTAATATTAATCACTGTGTATCTTTGCTTTGTTTTTTTCACAGGACACAGACCATCCCTGCACAGCCAACAACCCAGAAAGTTGCACCATGTCCCTCTCCCCTCAAGACTTTATCAACCTTTTCAACTTCTGAGCTGCCCCCCTCCCCAAGAAAAAATCCATATGAACTGACTGTAAATACTGTACATAGATACACTATTGTTTTTGTTTAATAGCACAATCGATTCCTGGATGTGTATTTAGTTTAGGTGTGACTGGAGGGGGCTCAGGCAGTGGGACAATTATGCAATTGAGTTTCTTTTCAAAGAGTACAGAGGCTTCTGTTGAAAGTGAGTGAATGTGACTGAGAGGAAAAAGAGATGTAGGAGCAATTGGCCTGTGGGTGCAGAAGGGAAGAGCGGTGGACAAAGGGAACACTTAGTAGTCAGAGTTTGGTCTTAGCGTGTTTGTGAAATGACACCTCCAAAGTAAACCTGACCTTAGTGTACACTTGTTTTTCCCAATTTGGAGAATTTGGGTTTTGTTTTTTTTAACATGGGAAGTAGGAAGGTTATTCCAACCCGTTTATTTAATGTTTAAAATTGTGATTTGTTTAATATGTTACAAGGCCTGCTCACATGGGGGGGATGCAATGTGTTCAGATGAAGTCTAGTAGTATTGGGTTTGGCAATGAGACAGAGAAAAGTAAATCTTGAGTTGCTGCAGTACCTAAGAGATAGTGAATGTATGCAAGGGAGTCAGTAATTGATCATTAGAGTGATGATTATTTGATATGTTGACACACCATAGTATGTTTTCTATTTTTCTTTGTTGTTTTTCACTTTTATAAAGATTTGATATGACTTTTTTTATTATTCATTCATTGTGTGCTTATTGTCTGCTGTGGCTGTTATAGCAACAGCACTTGAGTGCAGTATTACCAAAGATATCGAAGTCTGTGTAATAATGGTGTGTGCCTTTATCATGAAACTTGAAACCGGTACAGCTTAATCTATGTTTGCAATGTTTTCAGGTCCTAATGCTGTTTTTATTCTCATCAACAAATGGCTCATATACAGAAAAGTGATATTCAAGATCTGAGGCTTTCATACCAAAGCTGACTGGTTGGTTGAAATGTTATTTTTCCGTAGCCTCCTGCATGATTTTTTTAAACGCCCCGCTGATTGAGTTTACTTATTTATTGAGATTCTTGCAAGTGGCTCAGCTTGCACTGTTGGGTTTAAAGGAATGGAAATATTGGTATAAAGGTGCAATTTGACCCAAACTTGTCACTGCTCAGACGGTGAGGGGTGATGTACATGCTATGCAATGCATTCTGTTTATGTTCTTTTGAATAAATAAAAGAAAATAACCTTACCTCTGCCATTAGTAGTGTTAGTAGTCCTCACACCTTAATGCAGTGGTTCTCAAACTGAATATGGGACGCAGATGACCAGGGGAAGATATTCAGTGGAAGTTGAATATACATGATTTATGTAGGGATGTTTCACTAAAATTGAACTTGGATCCTTTTATTAGTTTTGGTTCCCCTTACTGTTAATGATTGCCAAAAGTTGTGCAGGATGTGGGTTTGAGAACCACTAACTTAATGTGATTTTTGTTTGCACACACTGAAGCATTATGTAGGACAACTGTTAAAAATGTTCTTCACATGGTTAAAATGCACACTGCCTTTTTCCTAGAGGTGAACAGGAGCTGCTCTGTAGGTTTGGCTGCTCTCTATTGGACAAATGATGAACTGCAAGTAAAAAAAAAATCTTGGTACGAGTACTGTCAGTAATCAGGACTTCCTTACAACAAATTATCAGTAAGAACTGATGTTTTTTCCATTACGGTTTCTTACTGAAATAGAACTGAAGCAGTGCTTAAGCAATGAAACAAAGCTGAGGCTCTCTATTAAATAACAAAATCTATGACATTCAAAGAACCTCACGCACACTCATATGGTGGCAAGGGAAACACTAACTACTTTAAAATACAAGTGGACCTATGCAGGGTCATTATTCCAATTGAACTCTAGGACACTGGTCTTAATTAGGCAGGCCTGCTGTATAATAACACCAACAAACAATGAGCTCAGTTTGATCATCAACAAACACTGTGCTCACAAATTTCAAAATGTAATTTTCTCAAACAATTGTTTTAATTGTTGCAATAGGTCAACAGTTAAAATTAAAAAAGCAAATGCAGCTCATTTTCTCATAACACTAATAATATAAACAATGTAATAATTCACTGCTGGTTACAATGTTTTTAAATAAATAATATTTATACAAATATTATGTAAATATTATTCATTTTACCAAGAAATATGATTTGGCACAAAAAAATTATTGTGCACATCTGTCACTGCAGCATTGTACATACAGTACTGCCCTGCTCCTCAGGGTGTATAGGTAGCTTTTACGGAGTAGTTCAACATGAGAAGCTTTATGTGTGTAACTGGCAAAGGCATGAATGTGTATTTTGCTGTCAAAGCTATAATACACAGGCATCATTTTAAGCCCATATAAATGGACAATTCTGCCCACAAAGAGAGTCAGCACATCGTTTCACTACACTGATCACAAAAGCTGGATATGTCTCTGCTGGTTTAAGGCAATATTGTCTGTCAGATGCCAGTGTATTGTTGCTGTGACAGCAGAAAAAAAGGCAATGTTAATGGTACATTCCCATCTTAAACAATATATTTTCTTTGAATTCTTATCCTTTTAAAGCTGAAATTAGCTATTTTAATAATAATAATACATTTTTATTTATAGAGCGCTTTTCAAGGAACTCACAGACCCTTCACATAGTTTAATTTTATAGCTAGCAACCTGGCTAGCTAGCTTTTTTTTAATACCTCCTCCTCCCCATTTTTTACTACTATCATGCAAACGTTTCATCTACAGTTTGTGCCTCTTGAAACACAAAATAAGCAGCACCAGGAACAACTTTCTGATTTGAACTCCTGCTATAGGAGTCACCAGTGTTTTACATTACAGAAGACATACATCAGTTCAAATAAAAGTTACAAAGTTGGTTGCATATTGTCATTGTACCATACATTGTTTTCTAAAAATTGTGTGCGTGTACCTCTTGCATCCATCATCTGCATCTCTTCTGATAAGATATGATATGAGAGCAAAGAATATGTGGGGTAGAAATGTTATATTCAGACCAGGGGTCAAAGTCTGGTGGGCTCAGGATGTTGATGCAACCCGCTGAATGTTAAACCTTCTGTTTATTCAGCTCTAGAGCTTGTTTAACACACGGAAGGAAACTATCCTGTTCTCTTCACTTACCTTAATTAGAATTGTTGTTAATGGGTTATTGATTACTTCGCATTAAGCCACATCTACCAGACGTGGACCCACAACCCTTAAATCCATATCAAACACTTTTTTGATAACCATTCAGCTTTGGCACCATTTCACTGTCTCTCTGAGCTTCCAGTGCATGTACTCCACAGGTGAGAGAGGCGGTGTGGGGTGATAACCCAAAACCTCCCAGACAGTATGAGTACCATCAGTAGAGGATCCGGAGAGAATCCCCAGTGGTTTATGAGGTGTAGCCAGAAAACGTAGTCAGCAGTCCTGTGTATGCAAACAAATGAGCACTAAGCCTTATGTGACACGCACAAACATAAGACTTTTTGTAGTTTTAAGAGAGACAAAAAGAGTGGCATGCTTGTAATAATCTGGTAAGAGTGAAGGACGAAGTTGCAAAGGGGAAGTAAAGAGAAGAGTTACCAGAGTTAGTAAATGTCACAGAGAGGTACGTTCTCTTTCAGAGTTCTGAATAATCCACTCAATAGCATCCCAGCCCTACAGATTTACACAGAGAAACAGAAGATTAAAGAAGAGACCAAGGCCATACACAGAGGCAGACAGGTGAACACCACCGGATATAGTAATATTGACTTAATCTTCAGTAAACTCTCTCTGCAACAGCAGAGAAACAAACAGAGATGGTAAAGTCAGAATTAGAAGGCATGCAAAGAAATCATCAGCAACATCTTTATTACTTCCAACAAGTTCCAACTACATGCAAAAGATGAAATACATGCATAAATATACATGTGCTGTTTTTATTTTGTGTTACCTTCCTGGCATTAGCTGACATTCTCAGAGCCATCATGCCCTCCAGGTAACTGCTTAGACTCACTCCCTTGACTGTGATGATGGCCTCTTGGGTCAGGACAGTACTGAGGAGTGGGAGAGAGAGAGAGAGAGAGAGACAGGTAGAGAGTCATAACTTTACAGTGACTGTTTGTTGTCTTGCTTTTTACCATCCCTCTCACAGACGCCTCTAATTTCATTGAAAGATAATGTTTTTTTCTCTAACATTTTTTGTAAAGTTAGGGAAGGATCTTGGTTATGGCTAATAACAAAAGTTAAGGCATGTTTATGGTTAGACTAAAACTAAAACAAACATCAACTGTAGGTCTGTGACAGGACAGAAACTCTGGCCCCCTGCATTAATCTGATGCAATACCACGCCGACCTTCACACCCTTACTTTCACCAACAGTACTTCCTGCATTGGTACTAAACGTTGGCGTACAACTTAAATACTGATTTCCAGAATTGGCCAATATGAAGGTAATTCCCTGGATACTGGGTTGTGTGTCGACACGAAGCCAACATTTTTTTAACCTGTAAACTGAGCTCAAGAACTCTCTCCAGACGGGATAAATCTGAAAACAACAACAGAGCCTGGAGTCCTGTCGTCACCCTAAGTCACCCAAGAAGTCGCTGCGCCTAGCCAAGAATTAGTCTGGCACATAACACCCCTGTAAAACTGTTTGGGATTAAAAAAAACAAGATAAACTACTGTTTTCAAGGTCAAGAATGAACTATTATGCTCATTTGTATGCTTGTTGAGTTGAAACAGAGAAATATGTAAATTAGAACAACAAAATCTTCAGTTTGGGTTTATTAAAAAACAGTATCGATGATCATGGAGCGCATGAGGGGACAAAAGGAGGTTTAACCAAATGTGACTCAGCAGAATAACCAGACTTTCTGTCCCACTCCTTACCAGATGTTGGCTGTGATGCTTACTTTTTTTTTGTTTGCTGATCAAAATAGGACCAAAAAGTATAGTTAGTGGTTTTTACAATGTATTTCAAATGAAGATCTGTGAAAACGCAGGCGTAAATTTTCAAAATTAGCTGCCTTACTGTGGGCATACTGTGTGAGAGAATAAGGGAGACATGCAATTTAATAATGGTTAGATGGATGGAGGAAGATGAGAAGGAGTGAGAGAAACAGGGAGAGACAGAAGAGCAGGCACTGTATTTTACATTTGTTTTAATCTAATCTCTCTTGTAAGTGTGTGTGTGTGTGTGTGTATGTGTGCATGGTGGTGTGAGGGCATGTGTGTAAACGGGCGAGAATGTGATTGATGTCTGAGTGGGAGTGAAGGGTAAGTTCCGATTGCTGTATAATTCATTGTGTATCCTTTTAATTGCGTTTGACCAACAGAATTTCCCTACAGAGGTAGAAGTTTATCCTCTAAAATAGCATAAACTGACATAGAGGGCTAATGAGGGGAGGAAGATAAAGAGATGCAAACAGAGGAGTGTTATTAACAGCTTTTGCTTCTGAACCTTTGGCCTGGACCAATCTCTGAACGGGCGAATCTGGTATCACACTCTGTGGGAGTGTAAAAGTTCAACAAAAACTGCAAGTTACGTCTCTTTCAGACCTTAGGGGTGAAGCGGCATGACCTTATTTGCTTTTTCAGGCCCAGAGGAAGAGAAATGTTGTCCCATTTAATGTTGGTATTCACTGACAGTAGTGCAGCTCGGCTGTGTTTTCCAGGACCAAAGTGATATATACTCTAGCTACCCTAAAACAACCTAGAGAAGAGGATGTTGTCTTTGAATGTCCTAATACGTTGCACATGCCACTTGCGAATGTACATATTTGGGATGATTGGAATCCATTAAATTGTGCTGATGCCTTCATGGTAGGGTTATTTACTTATTTAATACTCTTTGTAATTTCTTTGAACTGTATATTTATTTATGTGGTTTTTTTGTAATTAAGGAAAATCTACAGGCCTTAGACAAGTTTCCCCACAGGGACAATAACATACATCAGAATTTAAATTAAGAATCAGGAGATGTTACACGGAGAAACAACATGGTTACACTGTGAGTTATGGGATGGGTGTCAACTGTATATTACAAGGATATTTACAGGGAGACGTCAAATCTTCAACAAATCCTAAAACTGACACTAAGTAGAAAAAAATAAAAAAAGTGTAAAATGCAGGGTTTAGTACATTTATTACATGGTAACTGCACTCTACCAGGGGAGCCACTGAGGCGTCACTCATTGTTCTTTTTCACGAAAATAAACTCCTCCTAACCTTTTCTGAACTTCCAAAACCTATACTGGACTTGCAAACAATTTTTGCTATCACCCTCAAATACCTCACAAACATCTCAAAGGAAAAAAGATAAAACCCACAGAAAAGCAGCCTCCTGTTTAACCTAAACCACTTGCCCTCACTTATGGTAGTATTTTTTTCCCTCAGCCCCTCATTAAAGGCTAATTTATTTGCGTTTTTGAAAGCTTGGAAGTGACATGTCTGCCTGGGAGATTTCAACCCATAACCCACGCACTTCACTGGATATTAGAAGGTTCTTTTTTCCCTACAGATTTTTTTTTATGCATCACAACTTTAATAAAAACCCTAAAAATAAGATACACAGTTTATAAAAAATAATTTATTGAAGTTTTCATGAGCACAAATAGGCAGTAGAAACTGGTTTATAACATTAGTACCATAATTGTGTGTGTATGTCTATCCTGATATGCTGACATCATCCCACTAAGGAGACTCAGCAATAATGCCAACACACAAAACACACTTTCTCTCACTTTATGTAACCCACACAAACACACACACACACCAGCAGCCAGCCGCACAGACTCAGTGATAATGCACACTGGGCATTTATCTTTACAGTGAATTATGGTACACTGCGGTCTCATTGACTCTGTGCACAAATGTGCGAGTGTGTGTCTCTAAGTGTGTATATGCATAAGTGTTGAATTATGGCCCACACTTGTGGTGTGTATGTGTGTGTCTGTGTGTGTTGAATTGAATTATGGCATTGCGCTATCTCATTGACTTCAACTGAGTCCCATTCATCACAACTTAACCATGGAAATAGACTTTATGAACAAAATGCTGTTTTAGCAGTGTGTGTAAGCCTGTGTGCATACACAAGTCTTTGTGTGTGTGACCATGGAAATACCCCTAATGAACAATATAGCATGGGTGTGTGTCAGAGAGCAAGAGTGGGGATCAGTGTGTGCACAGTTAGTATATGTGTGTGAGATAAAAAAAAACAAACATTATTGCTCTTTTGATTTATTTCTGATTAATTCTACCTGCATCAAGAAATGATTTTTCCAGCAGCAATGCAATTACAGGTCGAAAAACCTGAAAGTGAACACATGGTCACACATGCACACACACACATACACACACACACACACACACACACGACAAAAAAGTTAGCTCACATCAGTTAGAGAACACACAAAATAAGAATTTATGAGGCTGTTCACAGTAACCTAAAATATACATGTGTATTTGTATGCACACACACAGGTGTGCATGCACTCCTTCACACTCATACAGTATGTACAATCCATTCACACTGACCTTTTACTATAATAACATAGTTGCTATTTCTGTATGGGTGTGTGTGTGTAAAGGTCAGTGCAAAGTAAAAGTAAATGTGAGGCTTACACACAGGCCGGCAGCAGGATTCATGTTCCTTATAACAGGCTTACGTTTTTTATACTTTTCTAGGCCAGAGCTGAAAGTTTAGTGTCCTGCAAAGAATTTAACAACAGCAATTATTTCTGCACCCCCTAAATAATATCCTTGTGTGTTATGGGAGATGACAGGGGCATTGCATGAGCAGGATAGGAGATAACTCAGGAAACCAGCATCTAGAGATCTTTTTCGTTCTGAGTGTACTTTCCATTGAGCACGGACACGTCAGCTGATGTTTACCACGGTTACCACGTTGTTCTTTTTAGTGGTGTGGAAACCCAGCAGTATGGGTTTGAACGGCACAAATACTGAGTTTTATTTTGACACACACACACTTTGTGGTACTGAGTTTACCTCCACAGTGACAGCTCAATAACAGCAGTTGTCTCTTAGGTTTATGGTTGGCAGTACAATCACACCTGCACATTCTTTCCATGTCTCTATGTCTCCACTACTACTTTTAAAACACTGAGCCGTCTCTCTCATAGAATCATCAAGCAAAGCCCCCCCTCCTCTCTCTGTCTTCTGTGGTATTATATCTTGTAAACTCCCCCATTCCCACTGCTCCTGCCTAGCTGTATGATTGCCACTGAGGAGTTTTTATTTGTCCTGTTGACGCTTAAGTGTCGGTCGATGCCCCTACATCTCCATCCAATCTCTTTTTCCCTGGTGTTTATCATGGCTGTTAAAACTTTTCATCCCTCCCTTTTAATCTTTGAATCTCTCTTCCGCAGGGCTCAGGATTACTTTTTGGATGTAACAGCAGTTTCTCAGCAAGTGTGACAGGGGTAAACGTAAAAAAAGTTGAAAGCTCACACTCTTTCCACATCTTACCCATGAAATTATACATCAATAGAGACTCAAAACATGTATTTATTACTTTTGTAGAGCTGCTATGATAATAATTGCAACATCAACTTTTACATACATTCACTGTTAAAGGTAAGTGTGCCAAAAAACACACAGACTATTATTGATTTAGAGAGGTTGACAGCGTATAAGTAAATATCAGCAATAGGTATAGTATAATTTAATAGCATTACAGGAGGTGTTGTATTGTGAACATATTTATTGCATCACAGATAGGCACCTCATCTCCCTGTTCTTTATTTTGAAATCTATACTATTTGCACACATGGACTGGAATGATGCTGGCTTCCCGTTGTCCCCTTGTCCAAAATAAATCAGGTAATCAATATAGGACTGTATGCTGGCTAGCTAGGCAGCTTTTTACAGTCAAGCCACAATTGTGTTTTTATCGCGATGCGTGCTAATATCGTCCCATCCTGGCACATGGTTCTGCAATCAGATGACTCATTTTTAAAGATGGCAAGAATGAAGAAGCAAATAGAGGAAAAGCCATAGTGAAAGTTTTAAAACAGAGATAACACATACAGCTTTTCCTACTTTCATTGATTTGAAGAGCACTATATGCAAATATGCAAACATTAATTATGCATATAGCGGTTACAGAGCCACAGAGGTGATGGTGTGTGGTTTGGTGCAGGGACCAGGCTTCCTTAAGTCCTAAAGTTAAAGTGTAACTCAACCTTATTTTCCTGCATTTTTGTGTCAATGGGACAGCACATGTTTGTGCAAATTTTCTGGAACTTGCTCACCATCAAAATACATCCCTTAAAAGTGCTTGTTTTTGCTACTGACCAGCTTAGGTTGTTGTTGTGTCCAACCACACAACCTACCTAAATGCTTCTGTTCACTTGATCTGCTGTGTGTCCAACCAAGTCTTGCTCAAGGCGCAGTCTTGGCTCTGAAATCTCGGGAGAGGTGAGGTGACTTGTTGCAGGAAGACAACAGTGGAAACACGAGAGTAGTAACGCCGGACAATTTTCAGTGTCATGGCTGAATATTAAGAGGATTTGGATGAGGCCTTTGAATTCAATTGCCGCCAGTATTTATTTGAGCCGGACTATTTGGATAAGACTACAAATTGAAGTGGGGATGAGGAGAGAGAGAGGGGCAGGCAGGGGAGGTGAACAAACTGCTGTAAAGCTGCGAAGATCGGGAGACTGGTGGTGTTCCTGTGGGTGCTGGGACCCTGTGACCCAATGCCCACAGAGGAGATTAAGCGAGAGGTACCAAAAAACTCTGCAGGGTCCTTTTTCTAATGTTGTCAGCAAAAGTAGCAAGAACAAGCACTTGTGGTGGCATTGTTTGATCGTACAGGC